TAACATACAAATTATTGAAAATTCATCTCTTCCGAAAATTGAGTATTTTAAATCTACAAATTGGGGAAAAAACTGTCTACAAAACATACCATTTTGCGGAATTTTTGATTTATCTCTCAGTCTTGATGTTCTACAATTTCTTCTTCACAATAGCAAATACATGTTAGGTGGTGCCTGTTTAGCAATTGGATATACAGCTTTAGTGGCTGGTTTTTGAATGGTGTATTGAATGAAAATGGAAAAAGAAAATATTGAAAGAAATATAATTTTATTTATCCTTTCTCCCTCTAAAAAAAAAACTAATTTTCTTTCTTTCTGATTCTTTTTCCTCAAAACTCTCTCGCATCACTTCTCTCTTCTCTCACTTGATTTCTCACATTCCTTCTTTTTCTTTGCTTTGGGCCTCCCCTTATAGTCTTCTTTTCTTCAGACTCTCCCCCGCTCTCCTAATATCAGCTAGCTTGATTGCCTTAGATTAGGCAACAACCAATCTATTATAATCATTATATTATATAATATAGATCATAAGATATATTTATATATTATATTGCTTGCATCTGGGAGATGTCGCAGCGCGAGCTGACCGACAATCAATCCTTTGTATTACTTTGTATTACTATCAGTATACTTAATAATTAGAATATTATAATAATAATGTCTACTTACACTCATACTACTGATCTATATAAATATATAATTTATACCAAAATACTAAACATATAATATAATAATATTAAACATATAATATAATAATATAAATTTTTTTTATTTTATTTTATGTATTAATAAAATATATAATTTATACCAATTTATATTAAAAAAACACCAAAAATATGAACAAACACATAAAATTATGCAAAATTACAAAAACACTAAGCTAATGAAATATTTAGTATTTTAAAACAATTTGGCTATAATGGTGAAGGTTGGGATTAAAGTTCAAATTTCATCTCTCTTACTGAGGATTCTGTGAGAAACACTTGTAATTGTCATCCTCGGGTAATCAAAAGAAAGCGTCCAAGTCTTAGGGTCAATCAAAATGGGGTGTCTACAGGTGGTAGTTGACTAGTTGACTAAGTCGGCGCACTTTATACCTATGTATGTGAGTGACTCGATAGATTATCTTGCCACAGTAGGGACATATTGAGATTGCACGGAGTCCCTGTGGTGATTGTTTTGGATAGAGATCCGTGTTTCACGGCTCGGTTATGGTAGAGCCTACAGAGTGCCTTGGGCACAAGATTGACTTTTAGCACTATGTATCATCCTCAAACTGATGGGCAGTCCGAGCGTATTATTCAGATCCTTAAGGACATGCTTCAAGGTTGTGTCCTTGACTTTAAGGGGTCATGGGAGAGGCATTTTCCCTTAGTGGAATTTGCCTATAATAATAGCTTCCAATCGAGTATTGGTATTGCACCATTTGAGGTCTTATATGGCCGACCGTATAGATCTCTGGTGTGTTGGGTAGAGGTGGGTAGTGCACCTGTGTTGGGTCCAAAGTTAGTTCGGGAGACAACAGAGAAAGTTGTACTTATCCGTAAGAGGTTGGTTACGGTTAAGAGCCGCCAAAAAAATTATGCCGACCGTAGGAGGAGACCTTTGTCTTTTAAGGCGGGAGACCATGTATTCTTAAAAATATCACCTAGAAAAGGTTTGATGAGGCTTAGAAAGAGTGGAAAGTTATCTCCTCGATTCATTGGGCCTTTTGAAATCCTTGAGCGAATTGGAGAAGTAGCTTATCGTTTGGCCTTGCAACCACAGTTTTCTGGGGTTCATGATGTGTTTCATATTAGCATGCTTTGAAAGTATGAGCCGGATCCATCACACGTGTTGGATTAGACCGACTTAAAAGTAGATAAGGATGCCTCATATGATGAGAGATCGGTGAGAATCTTAGATACCCGGGAGGCAAAACAATCTCCTTGGTTAAAGTATTATGGAAACATCACGGGGTTGAGGAAGCAACTTGGGAGCATGAGTTGGAAGCCCGTGAGAAGTATCTGGAATTATTTGTTGATGTTTAAGCATATATTGAAATTTTTATTATGTTAATGAGATATGGAAGCATTGTATATGTTGTGTGTGTTTGGAAATATGGATTTAATGTAAACATTGTAAATGTTTTGGAAAATGTGAATTATACTTTCAATGTTGGAACTTATGTATCGAGTTAATGAGAATGGATGACCAAAGAATGGATCATGGTATTAGAATTGATTAATTATCGTTATTGTGTTTGGTTTAAACATAACTTTAAAACTTGATTTGAAATTTCGGGGACGAAATTCCTTAAGGGGGGAGATCATAACGATTCTGATTTAGACTCGACCCGTTTTGTATTTCAGACTTGGGTTTCATGATTTCATATTGTTGTTCATGTCTTACTTCCCTTGTAAATCCTTAAATTTGTTATTGGACTGCAGTAGTTGTGTTTGAAACAGGTTGGTTGCTTAGTTTTCAAACCTTTGTGGCCCAGAATTTTACTCCTCCGCTCGAGTGACACTTTTTGTGCTCGAGTGGGCTTTGTGAACTCTCAGCACTTTTGCAAGTCTGCAAAACTATTAGGAGAGTGTCTTCTACACTCGAGCGGTTCTTTCTACGCTCGAGCGAGCTCAGCTCGAGCGGCCTTTCTTCCACTCGAGCGTTGGTCTATTGTCTAAAAAACTATTGGGGGTGTGCATTCTGCGCTCGAGCGTCATTTCTTGCGCTCGAGCGGACTGTGCGTATATTGTTTCGCAGCAGCACCTTTTTACGTCACTTTTTTATATCTTTTTCTCTCAAAACCCTAGATCTAGAGCTTCTCTCTCTAAAACCTACATTCTCTCTACATTTTCACCTAGATCTAGTAATTTCTCTACCCATGTGCCTTTGTTAAAAAGATAGAGCATCTCAAGGGCTATCCGAATAGAGTTTGGTTTTGACATCTTTGAAATCCCTCCATCTATTGCTTTGGTCTTCTAAACTTGAAATAGGGATCTTTTTTTTTTTGGTGAATAATTAAAGTAGGGATTTTCTACACTCTTCTATGAGTTTTAACTTAGTTATTTGTTGATATGTAAGAAATATTGGAATTTGGGGTAATTTTGAATAAACCTAGGGTTTTGGTTTAAAATCAAAATAGAGGTTCTCCAATGTATGTATTAAAATTGGTTATGGGACTAGATGTGAGGTTGTGTTATGATAAATTCATTGATTTTGATAACCAAAGTGGATTTCTGAAGAAAAACATATTTTGCTCCAATTGTCTCGAATAATTATTTTGTTTAAAAATATGAAATTGGCGGAGTATGAAATTGGATGGACGTTTGTATAAATGGTGGAGTTGGGTATGTATTACTTCTCATCTATAGAAATTTGGATAATTTATCTGTTTTGAATATTATATATCTGTTTAGAAATATCTGTTTTAGGCTATCGATAGAAGATAGCTATGATTGTTGTAGAAATTGCATGTGGATTAGGTGAATTGAAATTAATCTCTTATTCGTAGTCATTGTATATGACTAGGTTTTAATACATTGTAAATGTATGATGTGTAGGAGGAGAAAGGAGATGTACTCTATGTTTGGGAGAATAAAGGGGATAGACTTCATTGAATTAAGTTGACCTGTGTGTTCAGGGTAAAAGTCTCAAAAACTGTATGTATATATGGGTACCGGTTCCTACGAACAAAATATCCGTAAAATGGCAAATGGAAGTGTTTGCATAATGGTTGTGTTGAGTAGAAACCCAATGAGTTGTACCCTCAGTGTGGTCGTTTGAATGAATTGATGAATGACTCATGAAAAGAAATAAAACGGTGAATGAATCATGAAACAAAATAAAATGAATTGAGATAACATGAACCGTGATATAAAACTTCGCATAGCATGATTTTGCAAAGAGTTATAAAGGATTTTTATCGTGGGCATTGAATATACATCTCATACTTATATCTTTGTTAAGATTCATATATTATGTTAGATTATTCTTACTGGTCTTTGGCTCACCTTATTAGAAAAAATCATTTTCAGGTATTGGAGATATGTCTTCACCAAGACAGTAGTTTTGGGAGATTTAGAGCAAAAGCTTCCTTTTGATTGTATTTACTTTGTATAGCTAAGGGCTTAATTGTATTGAGTTAGACTCATTTTTGTTGTAATCAAGCAGTGACTTGGAAAGATGTAACTTTTTAGGGCATATGAATCTTTGTTTGACTTTCATTACTTTTTATTATTTGTAACACAAGCTGTAGATTCAGGATGAGCTATTTATGAATGTATATCGCATATGTCACATTTGTATATTAACTTTGATGAATGAAAATACTTTGTTTCAACTTGGTTTCCGCTTATGAGATGAGTTTATCATATTTATTATGGGGCGTTACAAATCCACATTGCTCTAACCGCTAACCGCGGTTTAAACTTTAAAATTTATAATCCGCCAACCAAACCGCTTGGCTCTATTATAGTTAATACATATATATTTTTTAACTTCCAATGAAATATCAATGTAAAAATAAGTGTGAGAGTGATTTAAGATATGAAATTTATTACAAATTAGTGGTTATATATATGAACCATATTATGAAAAATTACTTTGTGTTATATATCTGAAAAATATTATACAAATTAGTGTTATATATTATACAAATGTATGATAATTAGTTAGAATATTCTTCAATCTGTCAATCCACCAAAACCACCTAAACTGTAATTTGTCAATTCGCTAACCCATCATTTGATTTATAATTTTACTCTTAAACTGCTCGAACCGCACCGTGCACACCCTTAGTCATATCCCACAATTAGGGCTATCCACAATACCGCCAAAACTGTTAAAACCGCTCCGAACCGCACATTTTTTCAACTCTGGCAGACGGGTTGGGCCGCTGGGACTTCCAAGAATGGCGGGTTGGCACGGGTGGCGGTTTGAAAATTGCCAACCCGCGTAAACAACCGACTCGACCCGCCTATCAATATTTCAAAGTCTGCTGCTGTATATACAATGCAAACACATGGCAGCAAATGTAAATATACTTTCTCACACACAATACTTCTTTAATTAGCCCTAACTGACGCCCAAAACATCTCATCTCATTCACACATTATCGCTGATTTGCCGCTGCTCTCATTCACACCCAAACACCCAAACATCATCGCTAATCGTCGTTGCTCTTCACTCGCCGTTGCTGTTCTCCGCTCACCGCTGCTGGTCTCCTCATCGTCAGTACATACCCCTCTCTCTCTCTGCTCTCTCTCTCGGTCTACTCTCTCTGCTCTGTTTCGCTCTGCTCTTTTCTCTCTCTCTCTGTGCTCTCTCTAAAGTTTGATATGCATGACTTTGTTTCAGATTTTATCGATGGTAATCAGATGCATACCATTTTTAAAGAATTTGATACTTATGCCTAATGCTCATCTTTACTTCTTCACAGACAGCTGCACATTTCTTTGGTATGCTCTGTTCCATCTCTCTTTATCTTTATTTGGTGTTTCTTTTTCTTTGAAGTTCTGCATATATATGTATACATATTTGTATACTAGCGGTTGGGCACACACACGATGTGTGTGCAAATTAAATAAATAGGAATAAAAGAAAATAATAATGAAATTAATATTATAATGTGTACTTAGCTTAAGTGGTATGAGTCCTCATACTTAAACCCATGGCTATGGGTTCAAGCCTTGCCCATCTCTTTGTTTAACTTTTTTTTTAAAAAAAAAAAACACTGCCACATGGCATGAGGAGAGTAAAGCAAGCTTCAGGACACCATATTATGTGTTCACTTTATAATAGTATAGATAGAAGATATTGTTATACCTTTTTATCAAGTGTTTCTGCACATGAAGCATGATTTTAATATATAATATGCTTCACAATAGAACTTCAGAAAGAATAAAGAATGAAATCAATGGGGTAGACATAGAAGTGCAACACTGTATCCATTTCTTGGATTTGGGAATTACATATTTGGGGTAGACTCTATTCTTATTCTTATTCTTGAATATTATTTTTTTTAATGTTATATTAGATGAATATTTTAATTTTGACTATTTTAGTTCATTTATAAATTAGATTTTTTTACTCTTTTATTCAAATTATGTAATTTGAATTATATTTTTTATAAACTGCTAATCTATCCAAATCGTCAAGGCAAATTCGTCATTATTTGCCAGCCAAACCACCGATTTTTTATAAGAAAAATAGTAAATTCTAATGCCACTTTTATCAATCCGCCATCCGCCGTACAATTTTTATTTTTCTTCCAAATTTTTCTTCCAAATCACGCTGACCTACACCGCACACACCCCTACCCACAATTACACGTTGGACATTTCTCTGTAAGTTTGAACCTCAATCTTTCCTTTAAAAATTTAGAGATACAACCATTTGAGTACTCAAGTTCCTAGTGCAGTCATTAGGTTGGGCTTGTGAGCACAATGTTCTCTTGCAGGCCCAATCCAACCGGCCCATATTAGCGGGAGATCGGGGCCTTTACTATTGTTATCATCATAACTAGTGGAACGGTAAACGGATCCAATTTGGTTCAAATTGTCAGATTGGTCTGTTTTTTTAATTATGGTTTTGGTTGTGAAAATTGGGGAACCATTCAAATCGGTCCATTTTTCGATTTCCAGATTTTGGTTATGGTTCTGAATTGTGATATATTTATTGATTATTTTTTCTAGTTATGGTTCTAGTTTTAAAAATTGTGAAATTATTTAAATCGGTTTGGTTCCGATTGTAAAACTTTAGTTACGGCTCCAAACCGTAATATATTTGTTTATTATTTTTTATGTTTTTATATAAAAAAATTTAAAAATTAAAATGTTTCTTATAATATTTGAACAGTAGTCGTCATTGTAAAATTGATAAACTCTAACCAATTTTTCCAAACTAATTATTTTTAATTTATTTATTAATATAAAATATATATATCATATTATTGTTGTATAACATTTATAGAATCGTAAATTGATCCGAACCGAACCGGTTTCTATGATCTGGTTCTGGTCCGGTTCCATAGGTTAATGGTTCGGTTACGGTTTTAATTTTTCTAAAACCGTAAAAAATAATTCGATTCCTGATTTATTTTAAAATCGGACCAATCCGATCCGTGTATACTCTTATAAATTACACTAACATTCTCTCATTTTTTTTTAAAAAAAAAGAGAGTAAATTTTACAAATTTAATAATTATAACGTATTTTCTTAAAATTTAAATTTATATGAATTTTTGTCTTGTTTCCATCATTTATCCATTAGTTATATATAAAAAATAAGGTTATAATTATTTTTATATTAAAATATATATTTTATCATTGATTATCTATGCATGTATTAGCCTTATTTACTTTACGCTTATAAAAAGAGACGTTGATGTAATTATATTAAATTTGTAAAATTTATTATATTCTATTTGAAAGAGAGACGTCAGAGTAATTCAATCATTATTAGGGTAATTTGCAAACATGTCTTTTGAGGTTTACTTAAAATATGAATTGTTTTATGTGGTTCTTGAAATTACAACTTACTCTCTGAAGTTTCTAATTTCATAACAAGTGACCTATTTTATTAATAAATCATCAAGTTAATTAACAATTTTTAATAATGTCATAAATTTATTTCAATTAAGAATTCAATTAATTTATTGTTTAGGAGAGCAGTTAGAAATTTTGTTTTTTCAATTAATTTTGTTAATTAAAAAATTATGACAATAAGATATTTCTAATTTTTCAAACCACAAGAAATAATCTACAGTTTAAGCAAATCTCATAATATGTATTTGTATTTTACCCCATTATTATTTTTCCTGGTTTGCGAAAATTATAACTGATAACATAGTTTTCACACAGTTAAATTACTTTTTTACCATATTTTTGTTAAATTATAAGATAAATTACCAATAAATCCGAATAATTTGACTTAATTCTCATTAGTTCTATTAAAAATTAGTTATAGTAAAATTATCGCTAAAAATAATTTTTTGTAACGATTTTTGCGTAGGTTGTTAAAAATTAACAATTAGTGACTTTTTTGTCACAGTTTTATAAATTGTTACTAAAATTTACAATTAGTGACGTTTTTCTATTACGAATTTTTTAAACTGTCGCTGAAAATTAAAAATTAGTGAGATTTTTTGTGACAATATTTTAAATTGTCACTAAAACTTATAATTAGTGATATTTTTTGTGACAAAAATTTTAAATTGCCATTGAAAATTACCAATTAATAACGTTTTTAATAGTATTTGATAAAATTATCACAAAACTTATTAGATAATAAATTTAACTATTAAGACGTATACGTAACTCCCATAAATTATAATGTTTTCATAATCTTAGGAGAGATCAGTTTCATTAATTTCTATTATTTATTTATTAAAGAATTACTATTGTGGTTGTGGTCTCCAACGGGAAAAATTTTCTGGTAGGCCCAAATCTGTAATGGGCTTTCTTGAAAGTCAATGCAGATTTCCCATTTCTTGTGTTTCTTTGGCCCAGTTGACAACTGACTTAGTATTGCTAGACTGGATGCTCTTTCAGTATCTCGACTCATATTAGGATTGTTAAAAAAAAAAAATTAGATTCATTCATTATATAAATAAATTAAATTTAAATATAATTATAAGTTCATTATTTTTTAAATTAAATTTGAATAGCCTACTATTTAGTTCAATTAATTTATATGTACCATACAAAAATCAAGCCACTTGAACTTAATTTGTATTCAGCTTGTTAAAAATTTGTTCGAAATCAATTTGTTATGTAAGTAAACTAATTTAAACATGATTTTAAGCTTGTTTAGTTATCAAACTAAATTTAAACAATCTATTACTCAATTAGACTCGATTTGAGATATTATAATTTTATTAATGTTTGTAATTCTTATTGTATTAATTTTATTTTTAAAATGTTTACATTATATTAATTTTACTAATTGGATAACCTTCATTTAGAAATTGAACTAAAATCAATGGCTAAAAATTTATTTATTCTCTTCGAAGTGATTGAGGGATTAATGTCCATTTTGAAATGATTTTGATTTTTGTCTAAATTTTTAATAGGTTTCATCAATTAAGCTAAATTCATATAATATGAAAAATTAAAAAGAAAATTTGATAAAATTGAAACTAAAAGGGTAAATTACAAATACACTCTCGAGATTTGATTAAAATACGAATGGTTCCCTATGGTTCTGAAAATTACATTCCGCCTCCTAAGGTTTCTAATTTCATAATAAATTGTTCATTTTATTAATAAATCATCAAATCAATTAATAGTTTTTAATGATGTTAGAAATATGTTTCAATTAATAATTTAAGTAATTTTATTATTGTATAGAAAAATAATTATGAATTTTATTTTTTAATTAATTATGTAAAATAAATTTTTTTGACAAGGGGATAATTGTAATTTTTCAAATCACAAGAGACAATTTATACTTTAAACAAATCTCAAAAAGTGTATTTATAATTTACCCAAATTAGAAATACCAAACTAACACACAATATATATTGAAATTTATCTATGGACAAGCTCACTGCCAATTAATTTTGGAGGAGGATTCCCTCCAGTCCGGAATTTAGACTGGAGAGTATTGTTTGGGCTCGTAGCGCCCATTATGGGTTTCGTTTCGATTATCCGAATTGTTCATGTTGTCGGATACTTTACGTATTTCATCTACACAAAAAAATTAGATCAATTAAATAATTGTAACTTGTTTAATTATCGTGTTTTTAACCCAAAAAATATATGATTTATTTTTAAAAATACAAATTTTTCCTGGTTAAAAACACGATAAATTGAACAAATTATAGTTATCGGATCGGCCTAATTTTTTGTATGTATAAAATACACAAAGTGCCTGATAAAGTGAACTATTCGGATCATTAAATTGGGACCCATGATGGGTCCCACGAGTTCAAACAATGTCTTCCAATTTAAAATCCAGATTGGAAGAGATCCTCCTCCATAATACAATGGAAGAATTTGTATTTTGTCATTTTTTCATTAATGCTGACCTATCTAGGTAGATGAAAAGAAAAATACAATGAATAGAAAAATAAAATAAGGTATTTGGCCTAATGGTTGTATAACACTTATTGTAATGTGAGATTTCGGGTTCAATTTTGATATCCTTCGTGGTGATTGTTTATTTCTTCTCCATCGCGGGGGTTGTGTTGTGGTGATGGTTTATTTTAGTTACTAGACTTGAGTTTGGTGGGCTTAGTATATTAATTGTGTTATGCTTTCTTAATTTTCTAGTTATTGTAACTAGGAAAAATGCTTGGGAGCACTAATTAGTGCTCCCACTAATTAGGTGGCAGTGGTTAAGTTTGGCATGATTGAAAAAAGACAAAAAGTCAAAAAGTCACTATCCTATTTAAGTCACATCATCTTATTTAAGTCACATCACTTCTCTAACACATCACTTCAAACCCAACCCAAAC